ATTGTAGTCCCTCCGGAAAGGGAAGCCGTGGCGGAGCGAACCTGGACCTGCGGCTGCAGAGGCCACTCCGCCCCTCGAGCTCGGGCTTCTCGGCGGCCAATGAGATGGGACCACGCGGGCCCCAAAAACACAAGGGCGCGGGCGGGGCTTAGCAGGGGCGCCCCTCCCCCCGCGGTTGTCCTGGAAACGCGGCCAGGCCTCCAGTGTCGTGGTTCCTGACCCCGCAATGCCAGGCGCCCCAGGTTCGCCCAGTACCCACGTGCGTTAGCATCATCTGAGACTTGGAGTCCGGGGTGCATGCTTTGTCCTAGTTACTGTCCTGTGGCCCTAATCCACTGCGGGGACTTCGTGGGGCACCGTGGGTGGCTTCGACCCCCCTTTCCGTTTTATAAGCCCCAGACGTGATGATGTCACCCTCTGCCCGCCCCACTCCCACCGCTAGGTTGACACGTACAAACAATGCACCTTAAGCGCGGGGTGCCTCCGTTTCCCCATCTGTACGGGAATACCATGATGCTCCCCTCGAAATGGATTCCAGGATGGATGGCCCTGGCCGGTTTGGCTCAGTGCATAGAGCATCCGCCTGCGGGCTGAAGGATCCTGGGTTAGATACCTCGAGTTGCGGGCTGGATCCCTAGCCGTGGTGGGAGAGCGGGGAGTGGGGGGACGGGGAGGGGGGCAAAAACAAGCAAAGGATGTGTCTCTCTCACATCGATGTTCCTCTCTCTCTGGCTCTCCCCCTTCCCTTCCACTCTCTCTAAAAACCAATGGAAAGATATCCTCGGGTGAGGATTAACATACATACATACATAAGTAGTAACTCCTAATCCAATAGTCACGATCATTGAGAATTGCCAGGCAGAGCTATTTCCAGGGCACTATTCACAGGGTGGGGTGTTCTCCAACTTGTCTAATATACAGGGTGTCCCCCCAAAAATGTGTACACACACTTAGAATAATGTTAAAGTAAAGGCTGCATTTCACTTTCAAAACTGAACTCTCAGCTGTTCCCGTGTGTATACATTCTTGGGGACACCCTGTCCCTGCCTTTGTTTGTTTTTGTTGAGCAAGTTCATCAGCTGCTTCTCATCAGAAGACTGAACACTGCCCACTGTGTCTCCCAGTCGCCAAAGACAACACGACAGCCCAGGGCCTGGTGGGAAAGCTTCGCTCACACAGAGACAGGGCGAGCGCACCAGCTTGAATAGGCTGTGGGCGTCTGTCCCCCTAGCTCTCGGCACCTTTTGGAGCTTCAGCAGAGGGGACCTCCCCCGCCCCCCACTGGGACAGACACAGCAGTGGGGTTGGCCAGGTGCCATCAAGGCACACAACACAGGTCAGCAGAACAAATGAGACTGCAGCCCTAGCCGGTTTGTCTCAGTGGGTAGAGCCTCGGCCTGAGGACTGAAGGGTCCTGGGTTCGATTCCAGTCAAGGGCACATACCTTGGTCGCAGGTTCAATCTCCAGCCCTGGTCCAGGCGCCTGCAGGAGGCAACCAATCGATGTGTCGCTCTCACATTGATGTTTCTCTCTGTCTCTCCCTCTCCCTTCCTCGATGAAATCAATAAAAAATATATTTAAAAAAGGAAAAGTAAAGGAGCGTGCACGCTGGGTCTGCAAGGGAGACGATGCCCGCACAGGTGGCAAGTCCTGAGGGCGGGACTCCTTATCCCTGGGCGAGGAAGTGCCCAGGCCCCAGGCCCTGCTTGCACAGCCCGTGCGGTTGAAAGTCTGCATGTGAGACTCCTCTTAAGTCTCCGTCCCCCGCACATTAACTTTGTCTAAAGCGATTCCATTTAAGTGGCCCGAGTCACGAGTGAGCTAAGTCCCCCTTCCTCACGGCCATTCCTGCCCATCAGGAACACTGACCCAAGCGCGGCAGCCTGTTTGTTTTTAAATATATTTTTATGGATTTCAGAGAGAGGAAGGGAGAGAGAGAGAGAAACATCAAGGATGAGAGAGAATCATGGATCGGCTGCCTCCTGCACGCCCCACACTGGGGATCGAGCTCACAACCCGGGCAGGTACCCTGACTGGGAATCGAACCGTGATCTCCTGGTTCATAGGTTGACGCTCAACCACTGAGCCACGCCAGTTGGGCGAGAACGGCAGCCTTTTGAGGTGCTTCTTAGTTGAAAACTGACGCCATTGAAACCTTCAGCAGCCACGTAGGACCATCTGTGACCTTCTCTTTCTTTCCCTCCTGCAGTCACTGTGTCCGCGACCTTGTCCATGACCTTGTTTCTACTTCCTCGAGGTTTGTTTTTCCGTTGTACAAACCTTCTTGGTGCTGCCCTCACTGTGATGCGCCCTGGGCCCTGTGTGGAGTGGGTCCAATCAGGACTGTGGGTCCAATCAGACCGCCAACGTGCAGGTGGT